TTAATGATGTCAAAAATCATGTTGTACTTATGCGTCGCGCAGCTTTTATTCATCACAAGGCCTGTATATATATATATATATATATATATATATATATATATATATATATATATATATATATATATATATATATATATATATATATATATCATATCTGATTTGTGTCAAGAACTGAAAAAAAAAATGATGTTTTACCATATTATTGTTAGATAACCTCAAAAAAGGTTGTTTGCAAAGTTCAAGAAAAAGCTACTGGTAAAGAAGCAGCAATGCTTTTATCAGAAATAGTTGATGGTAGCAAAATGAGAATGCATAAGTATAATATTTACCAGAGTTTTCAGAGTTAATATAGCTGAGAGAAAATCTCAAAGAAGGTGAAGTAATAATCGATTAAGTAATAAGTCGATTTTTCCAAGAACTACAAAAATATACAGCTCCGCAATATCCAGAATGCTTATTTTTGGCATGAACATTTTACCATATTGACAGCAGTTTGTTATTTTCATAATTTTAATTTGGTAAAGTTTCCGGTAGCAATCATATCAAATAAATTGGAGGATGATCGCAATATTGTATTTACAAACAACAACCGGCATATTAGCATGGCTAAGGGTATAGCTCTATCAGTTTTCACTTTCTATTTCTGGAGTGATGGATGCTCCATCAGTTTCCACTTTCCATTTCTGGAGTGATGGATGTGGTGGTCAGTTCCGATCTCAATTTGTCTTTTGGTCATTTTCTTATTACACTGAAAATCTTATATTGACTTGGAGTAATATCACTGTAAAATATTACATTGACTTTAAAGGACCCCAAGATGGATTGGTGGAACTATAAAAAAACAAATTTACAGGGAAGTTTTGTCAAAGTTGTAAACAATTTTTCAAAGTAGCTGATCAGCTATGTGACATTACAATGATCTACTTAGACGCAAAAGATATTGAGTCCCCAAATTTAAATGATTGCCTTTACACTCATGGAGCTTTAATGCTATTTGTCTTCCTAATAATGTTTTTACTTTTGTCTTCCTAATAATGTTTTTAGCCCACTGTGTGATAGTTTCTTAACTTTTGATTGTCTTATGTCTTGTTAAATTACATGATCATGTCTTTTTAACTTTCATGATTATGTTCTGTTAACATGTTTATAATTGTTATGATTTTGAAGATTTTTTAATAGTTTTTTAACGTTTTGGTATAAAATGCTTTTTGCTAGTCCTTGAACATGCTACTATATCTTAAAAAATTTGTTTGAATAATTTATTGAATTAATATTATATAATTATAATAAATAATTTGAATTAAAAATCAAAAGAAAGTTAAAACTTAAAGCTACAAAAACCCTCTAAATGAGTTTATTAAAAGCAGGTTTCTAAAACTTGCTTAAAAACCAGTTTTTATATATATATATATATATATATATATATATATATATATATATATATATATATATATATATATATATATATATATATATACATATATATATATATATATATATATATATATATATATATATATATATATATATATATATATATATATATATATATATATATATATATATATATATATATGTATATATAAAAGCTGTTTTCTAAGCAATCTTTAAGCATATACTTACATGCTAATTCACCTGTTGTAAAATCAGGCTTGAATCCTCAACTATTCTTTTATATGCTTTCACTCAACTACCTTTCACCTAGAACCTTTCACTGAACAACCTTTCTTTTATTTCATTGTTGTTATTTTTTTCTTGGCTCTAATACCACTGACCATGTTGACAACAAAACAAATATGGTCAGAAATGGCACCTGACCGCATACCATTTCTGATCAAGTCTGTTTACATGTTTTGACATTTTCAACATTTCAAAAATGCACAAAACTAAATTAAAAAAAGAATAAAAAATCTTAACTAAAAAAAAAAAGAATTAAAACTAAAAATAAATAAAAAAATTTTAAAAACTAAAACTCTAAAATGAAAATTCAATAAACTCAAAATACAAAATTGCTAAAAAAATTTACTTTAAGTGATGTTCATAATTATGTTTGGAATAAATAACTTTGAAACTTTGCTTATTTCTAATGTGCCTTTAATGAACAAGTTAACAATTGTAAAAGAGTTGATATAGTTGAAAATGTAAAAAAATCTTTTGGTTTCAAAAAACAAATAAAAATGATAAATAAGAAAAATAAATAAATAATAATAAGAAATTAAAAACTTTAAGAAATAGCTTTGTAGTTTGCTTCTGATTTAAAAATGTGATTGTTGTTTCTTTTGCTGTTACTATCATTTGTTGCTGTTCTGACATCAGCTCTCGCAGTTGACAAAGCATTGGCATTCCACAGACAAATTAAAGCAACATTTGTATTTTATAAGTTCAACAAGAAGTAGATTTTGTTGCTATGTTAAAAAAACTTTATACCATAGTTGTGAGGATTTGTGTTAATCAATCATTTTGTAGCTTTTAATTTGAAATGAACTATTTTGACATGCTCAATCCAGCATTTCAAAAAATTTTGAATTCCTGTAGCAATAAGTGTATTCCTGCACTTCCAGTCTTCTTAAAAAATCTAACCAAGCTGGTGATTCGAAGACAGCGCTTAAAAGTGAATCTATTGTCTATCAATGCTATAATAATGTTGAATTTTCTTAAGGAGAATTATTTGATTTTTACAATCCATCTTCAAAATAAAAATCTTTAAAATAAAAAAAAAGCAACATTTGGTAACCATGGTAAACATTGCTTAAACCATCTTTGTCATTTAAAAAGTAGTTAAATACAAATAAGATTATCAATGGAATTTGATTTTTGTCAATTCTATTTTTAAACCTGAAAATCTGGAAATCAAGTTTTGTTAATTAGTTAAATATCAAATTAAATCTGGAAATCAATAACCTATTTTGTTGTCATTTTTTCCATCTACAAAATGTACACTATTAAGTCTTTGATAAATAATATTTGATATTCCTCATTTATTTGACAGATATTTAGTGTATTATTTATCCCATGCTTAAAAAAATCTATACCAAAACATATATTTTTAGCTGTATACAAACTTTCTTCTCTTAAAAACTAACAACAAATTAAAAGCATTTTCCTTTTATAGATTATTTTTACAATTTTACCAATCTAATTAAATCTGTTGATATGATAAACAATTTTACACTTTATAAAGCATTTTGCATAATATGATAACATTAGATAACATCAAAGTTATTTATTCCTTAAATAATTATAGCGTAATTTAAAATACTTTAAAACCTTGTTTGTTTTTGTTTTTTTAGTTTTTTGAGATTTTCTTTTTAGAGTTTTAGTTTTTTAAGTTTTTTATTTTTTGTTTTTTCATTATATCTTAATTTAGAACTTTTTTCTTTTTCATATTTGAATTTAGCATAGTTTTTTTTAAGTGCATTTTTGAAATGTTAACACAGACATGGTCACTGTCAATACATACATGGTCAAAATGGTGTGCAATCACAATCTATACCTTCTCGTTCTTGTGCATTTTAATTTTGCAATAAATTCTTTTATCTTTTATTTTGAAGTTCTTTCAGAAAATCTTTAATAGTGTCATTAATGAAGTTTTATAATTTTTATATAAAATTCAATAAATGAATAATAAAATAAAATAATAAAATAAGGAAAAATAAATTTCCTTAACAAAACAGGTTATTCAATTGTCACTACTTTTTCCCTCATTTAAGCTCAGTCTTCTGTTTCTGAAATTATTTTTTACTTGAACTCTTGTACAGCTCATATTTTGACCAACAAAATTTATTTACTGTCACAGCTAAACAAAAGTGTTCTTCAGAACTCTCTTCAAAAGTCTTTAAGGAATTCAAGTGCCTAAATGAGTATCTTTTTCTTCCCTGCTGGAAAATTGAGGTTTTGGTTGCAATTATTTGGAGATCGCTCTTAACCTTTTAACTACTACCCAGCTTTCTTACTATTATTAGCGAAGTAACTAACAAACTCATTATACATCTTAACAACAATCTTAAATTGAGTCTAACAATTTAAATAAGTTTCAAACAACTTGAGTCTAACAATTCAAATAAACAATTTAGACAAATATTTTGATCACCTCCTTCTACTAACTTATTAACTGATGGACAACACTCTTCTTCATTTCTGGTAACTTCTGTTATCACAAATAATAGTAGGTTTCATCCTAGGTTTCCTATTGTTTCTTATCTTTATCATTGTATATTCTATTGTTTCTTATCTTTATTATATATATATATATATATATATATATATATATATATATATATATATATATATATATATATATATATATATTATATATATATATATATATATATATATATATATATATATATATATATTCTTGCTCTTTAAGTACCTTGTTTAATTTTTAGTAACTTCTAACTTAACGTGGTTGCTAGCTGGCTTGATAAAAGCTAACTTTTTTTTTAAAATCACCCTATTGTAAATTTACTTAAGAAAATAAAAGCATGCCCTAACTTGTTGACATAAAGAGGTTAAACTAGGATGATTTTTTGAATAAAATTGAAATTCTATATCTTGAATATAATAAATTATTGTTTTAATTCACAAAATTTGAAAAAAAAAATTATAACTCATAATCATTTTTATTTGTTATTAATTAGTTATTAACATAGTAAGTAGAAACTGCAAGACATACTGCTACAATTGCTGTATGAAAAAGTAATAATTTTTTACTTTTTTTTTTCTTTAAATATTATTAAAAGATTTGTATTTTTAAATTTAACATAAACACATGTGCTCTCTATATAAACTGTGATCATAAATAAACAAAATATAAAAAATAAAAATGCACTTCAGCCCCCACTAAATACTTTACTCTTTTTTTTTCCCCTTGGTCTTTATTTTTTTGAAATAAGTAAGATACATCAGTAGTTAGTTTTTTTTATAAAATATTGTTTTAGTAAAATTAAAAAACATAAAAATTTTATATAAAAAAGATAATAATGATGATTATAACAAACCTGGTTTCAAACTTTTTAAAATATATAAAAAGCAAATCATCAGCTCTTTTGCTTCATCTTCATCAAAAGGTAGTATAGGGGGGTTTTTACCAGTAGAATCTGTTGTTGAAGTTGAAGAGCTTATAACAGAATAAAGTGCTGATACTTTTGAGATGCGCCTTGGAGAAGATTTGTCATCACTTATATGAATTAGGCCATCTTCTGTAAGCTCAAGAGATTTATGGAAACGTATTGAATGCTCTAGCATCATAGTTAAATATGGAATGTATAGTGAAGCAATTCGAGATTGCATTTCCTAAAACAATTTCTTACATTAAAGTTAAATTGATCATATCTTATTAATTTCATATTCATATAATTTATACAATTATTTATTACAAAACCAAAATCGATACAATCTTAATCATTTCTTTTAACTTTAAAAGTTTACTCACAAAATTCTACTTGCAATATGATTTTAGGAATTACGTCATTGGCTGCAGGAAACTTTTATTAGTAGGTTTTATATTATCGTTTCATAAATGGTTATAAATAAAACATTTAAAAAAAGAGTCTTTTTTAATATTACAAATTTAATTTTGATAATAAAAAGCAAATCATTAAATTTCTTACTTCTGATTGATAACGATCATCAAACTCATGTTTTACTAAAAGATTTCTTAAAACACGAATAGCATATTTTCGTACGACCTTTGGCTCATACAAAGCAGTAGAAAGTTCTCTCAGCAAAATGCCAACAAGAAAATGTGAACTACAGAATGTGTCATTTAATGTGCTTTCATGAACATCTCCCTTCATTCTTATATCAATTGGAAGATTTAATGGTATATAATGTTCATATTCAAAAACTGACCGTAAGAACTCAAATTTTAGCTCAAACATCTAAAAAAATCTTTTTATAAGACAAAAAATAGTAATAAACTACTATTATGAAACAGACATTTAAAATATTTACTTGTGTATCAGCTGGAATAAATTGATCTTTCAAATAGTTGATAATATGAAAAACATAACCACGATCCATATGTGTAAACGCAGATTTTAAAAAAGCAGCTAGATGTAAATTAGCTTCTTTAATCTCAGGGGTTTCCTTTACACGACTGACAAGCTGAAATATAAACACTTGAACCAAATTTTCTAAACTGTGGTGAAAATCTGCACTAAAACATTGTTCTCTTGGTTTTTTGCTCTATAACAAAAATATTTTTTGATGACAAAATCTGATGCTCAAACATCCTCATATATAAATATAATATTACAATAAATCGCAAAAAAAAAAGATTGTTATATACTCATAATATAATGTTAGTAAATATAATATATATATAATAAATTGCAAAAAGCATACAAAAAAAAAGTTTATATATCCATATATCAACCTTAAACTCCTTAGGTTAAAAAATATTTTAAATGTCTCCTACAACACATTAAAAAGATTATACTGTAAAAAATCTCAAATAATTACAAAAAGTTGCTATCAATACTAAGATCACAAGATGAGACAGCCGAACTCAAATTAGTCTCACAAAGAGCAAGTAGGTCTGGTGAACTTTGCAAGTGATAAGACTCAACAGAAGAAAAGTTACTTCAAAGACCACGAATATTGGTGAATGATAGGTTTAGAGAACTTGGTGATGACTATGGTTTTTTCTGTTTTATAGTTTTTGTTACTTTATTCATTTTTAAATTTGTTAAAGAACTTGACTCGAAAAATAGATAGTACTCAGTACACTGTTTTATAGCACAAGCAATTGCCTCATTTCCACTAATAAACCCTAAGCCGTAACAAAGGGCTACAATGTGGCCTTGGCAATGCACACCAAAAGTAAAAACAGGGACACCATCCATGCGCAACATGGCACTGTTAGTACTCTGATATTTTTCAGCTGTTGATGGAATCAGCCTCTCTGTGAGCTACCACAGAACCATAAAACTGAGTTTTAGAGCCGTACCCTCATTTGGAGATAATAGAATGAGTTGCCTAGTCATAAAAGCGATTATACTGTAAAAAAATTTCAAATAATTACAAAAAGTTGTAAAGTTATCTTTATTACTATATTGGATCAATATGAATATTTTTTCAGAATCAGAGTTTTCAGAGTCAGAGTTGTACGTCTCTTTGCAGAGTTGTACTTCTATTTGCATAAACCAATTTAAACCAATCAATATATCTTTCAAGATTATAGATGGCTTGTTAACCACATAACAACAAATTTTACACACACAAAAAAAAAATTTAGTTTGATTAACAATTTTTCTTGATAGAGAACTCAAAATTTCTCAAGTAATTTTGCATTACTTTATTATTGATGGGAAAAAAATGAAAAACATGGGAACAAAAATGATAAATAAAATGAAAACAATAAACAAATAAAATACTTTTACTACTTTGCTAGTAAAATTAAAAAACAAATATTTTACAACATAATTCAAACTTACTAATAAAAGAATCTTACCTCAAACCGTTTCAGATCTGACATGCTAGATAGAGCCATACTTTTTGTCATAATTTCAAAAAAAAACCATGAATACTAAAATTAATATTAAATACTGGTTAAATTTAAATCAGACATTATTTTAGAGGGGTATGCTGTATGCATCGAACTAAACCTACAGTCTACATCATTTTTTTTATGTTAAAACTATTTTGTTAAGAATATTTTTTTGATTTTTAAAAGTTTATCAAAATTACTACTGTTAGGTAACTTTAATAATAATTTTATGTTTTCTTTGCAATTTATAATTAATTTTAATTTAATTAATTTTTCGATAAAATATTCGTGAAGATAAAGATTAAATAACAGCTATATTTTTAAATAAGTTTATCACAAAGAATTTTTGAAAACAAAAAGGCTGTGTCATTCCTATGACATAATTTATATTAGGACTTTGAGGTGATTTGTATGACTTACTAATTTTTTTTTTCAAATGTTAATTTATATCCCCAAGGCCATCAAGGTCACTTCAGTCAGGGAGGCTACTTAAAATGTGGTTACAAATTTCTCTCAACTTTAAAAGTTTTAAAATGCGGTAGTAGTAGAGCACTCGCCTCATAAGCGAGGAGTTCTAAGTTTGATCCCCACCACATCTCTAGAAGTACTGCGCTAAACTTGTTTATCAGCGCAGCAGCCTTGTTCATCAAGGTTCGTGTTTCATAGTTATAGAGTTGAGAGAGGGTTGTAACCACAATTTAAGTAGCCTCCTCCTGGGGAGGTGAATTTACTAAAAAAAAAACTTGATGAACAAGGCTGTTGCCAGGAGAAACAAGTTGAAACAAATGCGCAGAAAACAAATATGATACTTATAATTAAAAAAATATTTTCTATGACTTTTAATGATTTTTTCCTAATATATTCCACTACTTTCTGTTGCTGATTATTTTTAATAAATCTATTCAAACTATTATTATTGTTGTTGTTGTTGCTACTGTATTGCTGTTATTACTACTACTGTTGTTGTTATTGTAATTATTACAAAATGCTATAAAATAAATAACTATGTAATACCTGTAAAATATTTGCAATCATTTCAGGATCAGCACCAAGGCGAAGAAAAAATATAAGATGCTTAGATAACTCTTCGTGTACTGTCTTATTTTGAGTAACATCAGTTTTGAAAATAAACTAAAAACCAATTTAAAAAAATTATTAAAGAAAATGTTTAAATAATTAAATATAATATTATATAATATTATATATATATATATATATATATATATATATATATATATATATATATATATATATATATATATATATATATATATATATATATATATATATATATATTTATATATATATATATATATATATATATATATATATATATATATATATATATATATATATATATGTGTGTGTGTGTGTGTGTGTGTGTGTGTGTGTGTGTGTGTGTGTGTGTGTGTGTTTTTTTTCTGTAAAATATAAAAATTTAAACTTGATATCGTTTTTGACATCTAGTTTCAAGAATTTCATTTTCACATTAAATTTTTTTTATTGATGTCTAGTTATGTGTTCTATGGTTTCACTAACTGTGTAAAAGCTATATTTTAGCTTTTTAAATTTGTTTGTTTAAATTTTTACTCTAAATAAGAAGAGATTTAATCTTCTTATTTTAGTCTTGTTAAATTTTATTGATTATTTAATATTATTGATAATATATTATTTTCTTACTTATATGTATACATATAAGTAAAATACATATACAGAGTATATGTATCTTACTTATCTAGCAGTTGTCTCCTTGTCATATCAACTTCCACAAAAATCGATAATGCTTTTGATGGTGTGTGTCTTTTTATAACATTATTCTGAATGGAATTAAGGTTTTCTCTATATTTTTTTTGCTTTTTCCGGTGAACAGCTAATATCTTTTATTATTTCTAGACACGTCATTATGTCTTGCATCACACTGACTCATATGGGCAGCATAGGTTAGTTCTTTAAAAGATATTTGCTCTCTCAAAGCTTTTGCCCTACATCTCTTGCTTGGCAAACTCAACACCTTGAAATACATATACAGATATAGAAATCTGGAAATGCTTCTGGTTTTTAAATGTTAAGATTTTTAAAAACTTTAAACTAAACTCAATAGTTGTTATTCAATTAAAAATATTTATTGAACTTAAAACTATGATATAAAACTCATTGTTACTATATTTTTAGATTGTAACTATATATATAAAACCATTTATTACTAATATACATTTATTACTAATATTATTTAATTTAAAACATTTACATTTTTAATTTAATAATTCCTAAAAGTTTTCCCCTAATCAAAAATTTTATTTTTAATGTTTAATACAATGCACAAATAGCTTTAGTATAGTTTTTTATTGGTTGATTTTTAAATTACTGCTCAAATTTCTCATACCATTAATAATTATTATTTTTATATTATAACTTTATTTGTAATGCTTAAACTAACTGGTGTTTAAGTAAACAGTAATTTAAAATACATAATTTTTTACTGTTATTATTTTTACAGTAGTAGATTTATTGTTTTGTTTTTTCATTAATTTTTTGCAATATGATAAATTCACTGTTTTATTAAAACAGTCTTCACGGTTTTGATAAACCAAGAATTTGAGGACCAGAAATATTTCCAGATATTGCAATTTCCAATAACTTAATTCAAAATCTTGATATATATATATATATATATATATATATATATATATATATATATATATATATATATATATATATATATATATATATATATATATATATCAGGGGCTATTCTAGACCGTTTTCGACAGGGTCGACCATATTTGGGCGCCACCCAAATTAAAGTTTGAGGACCTCTTTCTTTTTTTCTTTTAGTGCTTTTATGGCAAATATTGAAAAAAAATGTAGATTTTCCACTAAAGTCTGCCAAAACAGGTGAAGAGGGGGGGGGGAACAGCCCCGATCATGCTACCCCATAATTGTTAAGTTTTTAAGTAAACAAGCCTGACTTATTTTTAGGTGAGGAGATTAGTTCTAACTAAAGACTGGGCAAAATTTAAGTTGTAATTAAAGTATACTACTTATGAAAAATTTAAGTTTTCCAATTTTTAGTAAACAAATCTTTAAGACATCCTAAGATATATACTTTTTACTTAATTCTGACTTGGCGAAGGGTGATGGAAGAGGGGGTGCCTCTTCACCTATTTTATAACTTAAGAATTATTTTCCAGTTAGACCCTTCATTTTTGGAGAAATGGTGTCCCTGTTAAGAACTACTCCAATAATACTCATTTGGTCTGAAGTCCATCAAAGGAAATAGTCAAAGTTTATTTAGCATATTTTTGGACTGATTTGAAGTATGTTGTAACCCATTCAAACACTTAAGTTAAATTGAAATTCAAATATTTTTTATAAAAACATTAATTCAAATATTAATTCAAATATTTTAATGCAGGGTGTTAGCCAGCCCAATGGCACTGCGTATAAGGCGGAATTCTCAATGGATTTAACATTCCCAAAATGCAATGACCTTTTTTTTTTTCTATGAAAGAATAGAACAATTTTAATAAAAATTCCCAACGCTGTGTAAAACAATAACAATAAATATATACAACATTGCAAAAATGCGGTAAAAAATATATTTCTGGCTAACACCCTGTAACAATAAGTTAAAAAATATAAAGTAAATTCAACAAAAAAGCTGATGTTATATAAACAGTTGATTGTGTGTACAATATAAGAAAATCGAATGAATATACAATATAAAAAATTAACTTTATTTAATCAAAACGACAATTTGGTCAGAAGACAATTCAGGCTTTAAATTTAATGTCTGATTAGTTCCAAGTGCTTTTTTTTTTTGGTTGCATAAAATATTTCTATTGTTTTGCATAATAATAAAAACTTGCATAACATTCTGAAATTCTTTTAGTAGTTCCCATAAAGTCGCTGCAAATCTTCACTTCAGGTTTAGAATTTGGTGAAAAATACTAGAGTCTTTTTCAATAAAATCAGTCAAATCACTTATAGCCATTTCAGGAAGCATTGGAATTCTAGGTTTAGCAAACCCTGATCCTTTTCTTTTCCAAGTTATTTTATGTTTTTTTTTAGCAATACTATTCTATTTGCAATTTTTTTCTAATTTGTTATTAAAAAGAGAGACCTCAGTGAGGTACCACATGTGAAAGTTTTCAGAGCAGGATTGAGTAATAGTTAAATCAATAACTTTATACTCTAATAATGAATTAATAAGATTTAAATTGTTAGTACAAGCTTCTGAAAATATAGATGCACTTAGTCACCATGAAATATAAAAAAAATATATAACAAACTAAACAATACTTTCTAGTGTAGTAAGTGTTCATTATTTTCTTTATGGATTCTTTCTTGTTCAGTAACTTTTCTATAATGAAAAAACTTTTTCCACAAGGTTACATTTAAGATTACCTGAGCCCATGCCTATCTATGTTTGAAAGGATGCCTATCCATGATAGAAAGTCAGCAGATGGTGACTGTTTCATTTGCTAATTATAATATATATATATATATATATATATATATATATATATATATATATATATATATATATATATATATATATATATATGTATGCATGTGTATGATTAACATAGGTGACATTACTAGAGTTTTTAAGTTTTTATTTTATGACTACTAATACATATCATAACAATCGATGATAGAGTAATGGTGTGAACTGCATCATATTCCAAAAATTCAGGGTTTGCATAGTGAATTGATTTTAAATTTGCATTAGCAGTTTTAATATATTCTTGCCTTATTCCCCTCCCCCCTTTTCCCCCATAATAGGAATTATTTTTAAACTTAAAACAAGTATCTCTACTCCACTTGATATTTACCCTTTTAGATTTTTAACGGAATGAAAATCTACAATCTATTCTTAGACACACTTCTCCTAATATCTACCTAACTGGGCAGCTTTGTTAGTCACCTGTATGCAATCATAGTGTCACCGAAACAAACAAAAAATTATTCAAATTGATAAAAGTTGTTTGGTAAAAAAAAATTTACATTTAATAAAACTATCAAATAAACAACGATTAATATTATAAATTATATAAAAATCAGATATAAACAAATCAAGCAAAATAATTTTAAAAAATACCTTAACATATGACTTCAAATATGAAGATTTGTTTTCTTTATGCGTTAAGCTAACAATTCTTATTATTAAACTAAAAAAATATAATATAAACATAAAAGAGCATCATACTTACATATGTTTATTTGTTGTATTTACAAATAAAAAATATATAAATATACAATTACAGTATAAAACAAAACAAACAAAAAAAAGCAAAATATAATTGAAAAAATTTCTAGCCATAATCAGTGTCGGATTTAAAGGTGTAGAGGCCTCTGGTCTCAAAGAATTTTTTGAATAAAATGTAAAATTTTCTTGAGTTGAATTTTCCAATAAAAAATTTATTGCAAAACCAAGTATAGATTCTTTTATTATCTTACAAACATATAAATATAATTGAAGTTAGAATTATCTGATATTATACTTTAGTATTAACAAACGATACCCTCCTAGCTTTTTTCGCTAAAAAGTTGACTTTACTTTGTAATCCAGTTTTCAAAGTAAATCACTTAATGATGAATTTGCCCCAACATATCATGCGTTTACTAGTTTGAATTAGAAACTTTTTACTTTAAAGTGCCTACTGTGGAGGCCCCTCTTTTATGAAGGCCCCTGGACTGTAATCCCGGTTGGCCTCCCCTAAATCCGGCCATTGTCGTAACATTTGCAGTTTTTTTTAAAAAAAATTTAAGTCAAATTACTTCCCTAACAATTTACTTGTTTTTACTTTTTGGCGACCATTAAAAGTTGCTCAAATATTAAAGGACTCTTGAATGTTAAAAAAAAGCATTGCAAGAGACTTTTTTTTTCTCTGAACATGCAAAGAACTATACACATACACACACGCACGCACGCACACACACTTTTATATAATAAATTTATATTTTGGGCAAGTGAGGCTCTTTTATCATGGTGAAGACCATGTTAAAAATATTATAGTATAATTAGGGTATTATTTAATTATTATTAGTATAATTAGGGTAAGTGAGGTTTGTAAACCTTTTATATGTTTTAAAAATTGTAAAGTTCAATGGCAATTCTGTTATTTGTAGTATAACAATAAAAATAATCTAGATCTATAAAAACATTGTAAAAGTTATATATAAAAAGCAGAAAACAATTCCACATAAAAAAACTTTAAAAACATACCTAACAACATTAACTGCAACATCTTGGTTGTTCCCATGTATAAGAACATGAAATAGCTGGTTAAGCAAGACTGGAAGAAATTTTATGACTACAATGCTGTTTACGCCATACATAAGTTTTAAGAGTCTTGATGTTTCCACATCTGAAGAAGGTTTTCCTTCTGTATGTTGCCAATGTGAAAAAAATGCATTTATATCAGCATCCTTAAATAATTTTAAAAATTAAAAAAAAAGTAATGAGCAAAAGAAAAAACTTATCTAAATTAAAAATTTATCTAACTGTCTTTGCTTCAGTTAATTTGTAATTTATAATTTATACATATAACTTCAGTAAGGAATCTCTGCACAAATAACTTAGGTCGACAATCAATATTTATTGAAATAAAATATATATATAGTTTTATATGGTTTACACATTTTTTTGTCAAAAAAGTTATCATTATGAGTGACTTTTGTCAAACTTCTTGTTTGGGGTAAAAATGGTTAATTTTTTTATTATTTAAAATTGTATAAAGAAATTCAATTTAAAAAGTTATTAGTTTAATAAACTATTAAGTTATTGACTTACAGTTATTTACTTACTTTTTTTCTTTTTTATTTATTTAATTTTAAATTAAACATTTATATAGATTTCCAGGAATAATACAACATATTTTATATTCCTATTTAAATTAGTTATAAAAAATGTAAAACTAAAGAAATTAGTTTAATATCAATATTCATTTTAACAATTATTAATAGTAAAACTGTTCACCTGTGTATTTATAGTTGAAACTAACTTTGTAGACACTTTAAATAAGTTCTGACCCTTGCCATCAGCCCATTTAACATCTATTTGTCTTGAATCTGTTATGCTTAAATAGTTACTAGGTAGATTCAATGCCACAGGCATGAAACTTTCATCTGGTCTTATAACATTATTAAGTAAAATCGGCATCCAACAGTAACCAACAGGAGTCATGATTTCTTTTTTTTTAGGTTGTTCAACGCTTATATGATTGAAAATAAATAGAACATGATGCATAGGGGTTAATTGTGGCGGAAGCAAAATTTTAATCTAAAATAAAAAAGTTGAGTCAGTATTATTATTTATTTTAAAATAAAAAAGTATTGCTAACAAATATAGCAAAAACATAGAATAAATAAAATCAACAGCAGTGCAACTGGTGTGAAGTTAGCAATGTAGCTAGAACCTTACTAGTAACTACAATATTTCAAAAACAAATTTTTCAAATACAAAAACTTTAAAAAAAAAATTAAGAATGTTATAAAATGTTTATAAAGTTTTTCAAGTATTTGATTATTTTATTTATTTTTGGTGTCAGAAGTGTATAGATGTGAGTATGTCTCCAATCACTTGTAAATATATGCAACAGAGATATGCTGTAAATATAATTAATATATAACAGCCCTCGAAATTAGGGTTGGCATTCGGCAATGCCGACCTAACTGCCAACCTTAAAGTGTTTGAGATTGGCAAAAAAGTGCTGACCTTGTTTTAATGTGTTATGGTGACTCCTTTTAGCCGACCACTAACAGTTTGAGATCCTTATTTTCTACGAAAGCTATGGTCCCTCTTTTACGACAGCTATGGTCCCTCAGTGGCTGGTGAATCAGAGTTGTTTGCCAAGTATTGCGTTTTTTTTATCGAGTTAAAGAGTTGAGAGAGGTATACCCACAATAGAATAGTCTCCTTGACTGTAGCATTATTCTCTGCCTTGGGGAGGTAAAAAACATGAAGAAAAAAAAACATTTTCTTTATATTACTATCTTGATGAGAGGATTGCATCTTTTCCAAATTTCTTCACTACAATTTTAGATAGAAATCATATATCCAATTGCTATGTTGGTAAGGTTGACTCTCTTAATCATGTTAACGATTTCTTGTGATTGATTCTCTATATATATTCTCTACATTCTCTATATAAATCTCATCCATGTATGAGAATAAGGGCCGGCGAAGTCAACTTTTTAAGACTCGTATTTAAATGAAAGACAACTTTAGAACATATGCGTATACCAAATTTAACTGAAAGACGAATTTAAGCCATATATGTACCTCAAATTTAACTGAAAGACAAATTTAGACATCTAAACCGAATTTAACTGAAAGCTGAATTTGAATTTTAAAAATACATTTAATTAAAAATGAAATTTTTTTAAGAATTTTTATAAAAATTTTTTTTTTTGCTTTAAAGACCTAACGGTTTTTCCACAGAGTACATCAGAAAAGTATTAAACTAGGAAGTTCAAACCTCCTTTTTCTTACCAATGGTGCAAAGTATGCCCAGAGCTTGCTTGAACCCTAGGTCTAAAGCTTCTAAAGCAAGCGCTCTAACCACTGCCACTATTCATATATTCTAACTACTGCGATGCTGTATAATCATTTTTTATAAACTAAAGTTATTATTTTTTAGCTTGTAATTAACCATAATTTAAAACTTGACTTTGTGCCTAAAAAAGACTGTAAGACAAATTTATTGTTTATTTTAATCATGTTTTTTTTTCCTACTGAATTCATGTTCCCAAGGCCAAGTGGCCACTTTAAACAAGGAAGCTACTTCTTATATTGGTTACAACCCTCTCTCAACTCCGTAAAACTTTTCGAAGTTAAAGAGTTAAAAGAGGGTTGTAACCAATAGAAACAGGTTGATATACATAAAACATTTAATATATTTCTTCTAATATTTAAAAAAAATTTATAGCTTTTGAATTCAACTAAAAGTTAAATGAAATTTTAAAATCGAATTTAACTGAAAACCTTATTTCTATTTCAACTTTGGCACCAGTCGAGGTCGAAGTCAACTTCGCCTTACAGTAAACTTTGTAATCCTAATTTTAACCAACATTCGCTGGTCCTTAGTATGGAATACTGCTGTCATATTTATTTAGATACTTTTTGAGCTGATACTGCCTGTTTTTATTTGCAAAAGGTCTAAAAGTTCTTTGTAAATAAAGCAGAACCTGTTCTACCAGTCAAGCTAAAGCCTTAAGTCTCTGTCTAATAGATATATATTTGCCTCGCTTCTACAAACTTCTAGTTGCCTCTTTTTCTCTTCTACAAATACAACCAAGCTACTTAAGAAAGCTCTTGTTTCATCAAGCAAAACTCCATTTTGTGACATTCTGTAATTGTTCCTTCATGTTTTAAAACTTCTATTCATTTAGTTTTTTTCCTTTGATGTCAGCTTTTGAATTCAATGACTAATACAACTTAGGGTATCGTTTGTTAATACTTTCATGACTAATACAACTTAAAGTTATTAACTTATAGGTCTTCTGTCACCTGCTCAGAAGACATAAGATTTAAGGTCTTAAGTCTTCCTACACACTGCTCAGAATACCTAAGACCTAAGGTCTTAGGTCTATCCAGGGACGAACCTGTTTTAGTACCGCTGGAGTGGTATGGGCACGCAAAAAAAAGCGCTCAAAAACTATTTTATCTTTAAACTTTTCTTTTGCTTTTTTTATTAAAAATAGAAAAAAAAAGTTCCGGTTTTAAATGCAGTATGTAAATAATTTTTAGTTTATTTTAGCTATTTCACTTTTTATTCAGGACAATAAAATGATTTAAAATGCAATTGCTTTTTTCACATAATTATGTGGCATAACTGTCCTTCAGTTACAAACTAAATGTTAGTTTAAAAAATGAACATTGTTACAAAATTTAATTTTAAAAACATGTTACAAAATTTTATAACAATGGAATGTATAAAAAATTTGCTTTTTTGAAATATAGAACGATTTTATAATATCCATTCAGAGTAAAGTTGTCTTCTGTTTGTTGGCAATAAAGAGTGAACCGCTTTTGATAATAAATGAACAAAAGCAAAAAATTTCTGTCTTAATAACTATAGTGTTAATATGAAAAAAAACTGTCTTAATAACTAAATTTTTGAATGAATAAACTTTTGGTCTTTAACTTGCTATTTTAGTTTACATGAGGAAAACGAAAAAACGAAACATAAGCTTTTTCAGATAATTTCTTTTTTATATACTTTTTGACTTGAAAAAATTAATAAATATAACAATTACAATAACTTAATAAAAGTCATATTAGGATATTTTAATAAGTTATTTTTAAACTTTAATGTCTTTGATGTTTAAAAAGATCAATAGTAAATGTAACTTTTTTTAATTATACTTCATGGATAAAAATATAACTTTTAAAATGTTTTTTAATCAAAAAAAATATAACATTTTTTAACTTGTATTTAATTATCTCTTCTTTAATTATCTTTAATTTAAATAGCGTCTTAAAATCACATTAAACCATTAGTGAAACTTTAGTAAACAAATTTGCTATAATTAAAATTAAAATTTTAAAACTAAAATAATAGTAAATACATTTATTAAATGCTTATGTTTTTTATTTGAATGGTTAATTTTAATTTTACAAATATTACACGATTTAAAATTTAGAAATCGCGTCAAATTAACAAAATAGATTTACGCCTTGTATTCAAATAACTGTCCTCGATGGACAGCACTTTTCTTCATAATCTGTAACTTCAGGGGTTCCGCAAGGTTTAATCCTTGGCCCTATACTCTTTTTAATTTACATCAGTTCTTTTGAATTTGCTTCCTTCATCTTGCTTTTCTGATTCATATAATTTGCAATCTTTTAAATTGCCTGCCAATCGTTAACTTGTTCTACAAACTTCATCTTTTCTCATCTTCAACTTTAACTATTCCAACTTTAGTAGTGGTTGCTTGCAGTCTTGTTGGAAACAAAGATGTTTAAAAATAAAAATAAAACACTATATAATAACTAACTATAAGTGGTGAATGATTAAAAATTGTTTAAAGTATTTAAACATTTAATTACTAATTATTTAAAACATTAATAACTACAAAAACAAAATTATTAAAATAAATGTATAAAACACTTTGAAAAATTTTCAATAATTACTTACAAATAGCACAGTAATTGCAACAAAAGCGTTTATTAAATTCTTATTGAAATTTAAGGGCTAAACAGATTCTATATGTTGACCAGCCTTGCACCCCTTCTTCATCTATAAGGCTGGAGCAGATGTATTTTTAATACATTGTTTGTAGTTTAGGATATTGAAAGCTGGATCTTTATGACTCAATGCATGGGTTTTGTTTGTGTCTCTGTTTTTATGACAAGGCAACTCATTCTATTATCTCCTAATTAGGGTACAGCTCTAAAATTCAGTTTTATGGTTCTGAGGCCGGCTGGTAGTCAGGTTTCCCAAACTCTGTGGTACCTCTCAATGAGGTTGATTCCATCAACAGCGGAAAAATATCAGAGTATTAACAGTGCCATGTTGCAGAGTACTAAGAGTGCATGGATGGTGTCCCTGTTTGTACTTTTGGTGTGCATTGCTGAGGCCATATTTGGAGCCCTTTATTACAGCTTAAGGTTTATTAATAGTATTGAGGCGATTGCTTGGACTATTAATTAGTGTACAGAGTACTATCTATGCTTTGAGTCAAGTTCTTTAACAAATTTAAAAATGAATGTACCAAAAACTATAAAACACAAAACATCTTCATCACCAAGTTCTCTAAACCTAATAGTCACATGCTTGACCTGGGCATTTTAACGCACTTATAACTTTTATAATAAAAAAAGTAATAACACTATTATAGTGTTATTACTTTTTTAACGCACTTATAACTTTTATAATAGAAAAAGTAATAACACTATTATAGTGTTATTACTTTTTTAACGCACTTATAACTTTTATAATAAAAAAAGTAATAACACTATTATAGTCTTATTACTTTTTTTCTTTTTTTTTTTTCTAAAACAAAAATAAAAACAGTACACAAATTATTTAAATTATTACATTTTTTCTATTTTTTTCTCTTATAATTTATTTTTATTTTTTATTTTGTTAGTTTTTTTTTTGTTTTTTTTGAAACTTTTTCCGCAATGATTATAAAACTTGCAAACAGCTGTGACGAAGTTGTCTAAAATAAAATACTTGCATGTGGTCATACAAGACAAAAAATGGGAAGGCATAATGAATACAATAAAAGTAATGATATACATAATGCATAATATAATATATAATAGACAAAAATATAATACATAATGTAATATAATACATAATAGACAAAAAATGGGAAGGCATAATGAATACAATAAAAGTAATTATATTATTAACTAAAATATAGCTAAATAAAAAAAAGAGTAAAACTTGTCTTACCTCTTCATAAAAAGTTGGGTTTGGAGTATGATAAAGAATAGGACATGTAATTTCATGAGTAAACTTGCAAGTGCCATTTCTTTCGTAAATGCATTTAAGAGGCTTTGCAGATGCATCATCAGTATCTCTGAACTGGATTGTGCATGCAATATTTCTGGCCTAGATATTTGTGAGTATTTATATTGGATATATACAGAATAACAAATATGTTGGTAAACATGTTTTCTGCTTAATTAAAAACTTCACAAACCTTGACAGATTTTTGGAGAGAGTAATTGAGAGAAAGTGGATAAACATAAAAATTGGCACAGTATTCTGTTGCAGGTGATATTGTTTCAATATTTTCTTGATGAAATGTCTGAACTTGTAAACTGACTAACACATCATCTGATCGTGAAAATGGTTTTAAAGGTATTAATGAAGGTGAATAACAATCTAAAATTAAAAATTAAAAATTTTAATCTTTTAGAAAATTTTTATTTTTTGAAAAGTTAGAATCTTATCTTGGTGACATTTTACAAGCAAACAAAACAAAAAACTTTATTTAAAGTAAAAATAAAATATAAAAAAAAATTCAATCAAGAAAAAGACAATAATATAAGTCAAGTATATATTAAGACAAAATAAAAATATCTTAAAACCATAAAACTTACTTTGATGGTTTGGAGGCAAAAGAGACAATGAGTAAACAAAAGAACCAGGGATAGTTTGCTTGCTTTTTGTTTCTCTAAAAATAATCTGATAATCTAAAGCTTTTTAAACAGATACAAAAAAAATTATAAAAAAAATACTCTTTGACATATAAAAACCTATATTTATATTTTCAACAGAAAAAAAGATAGTGTCTATTGGCACGGGCGCCATGTACAACTTCTAAAAAAGACTATTGGCACAGCTGCCGTATAAACAGTTAAGAAAAGGTGTTTGCACGATCAAATTGGCAAAATTTGAAATCGGACTGCATCGTAACTTTAGAATTAATTAATAGAACAAAATAAATTAAAATCTGTAAAGGAAGATCTCAGAAAAAATGAATGAAAAAATGACAACTTTGATAATTACAAAGAATTCTAAAAAAATTCTAAAAAAAGCGCAAAAAGAACAAGTAAAATTAAAAACTAATTTTTAAAACCCAGCGCTTTTATAATGTTTTAAAAACACAAATTTTCCAATAAGTTTTTTCTGATAATCCTATTTTATTTTATTAACGTTTGGCTGTATGCGTGTGTAAAATAACAAAAAATATCCAGGAAAAGGCAAGACTCGAACCTCCAACCTTCAGTTTACAAAGTCAACGACTTTGCCAAATAAGCTAAACGCGCGTTTAAGTATTCAAACAATTAGTATACTTATTTATAAATTTTAAATTCTTCTTTCCATATAAAAAATAAATTTAATTAAAATTAACTAAATTAGTTAACTTATTGGATAACTAATTATTGAATATTGTATTGTCATCAAGCAAGAGTATGTATGCAAAATTTGAAGAAAATCTATCATCAGAAAGTGACTCAAAAATTGTGATTCTGCGGCTGTGTTTTTTGTTTTTTTTTAAGAAAAAAACTAAAGCTGGTGTAGGAAAAAACAACTTTTATTTATAATGATTGCATATGAATGAATGATAAAGTTGTAATTATATTAAGTTAAATGCTACAGTGTTCTATAACATCTTGACTTAATGTTATATTTATGAGAGAAAACTACAAAAATAAATGAATGATATAGTTTTTGTCCATAAAGTTTTTGTTCAAGAAGTTGCTTTTTGTTTTTTCAAACACACATTTTACTTTTATTATTTATAGAACAAAATTTGTAGAACAAAAATAGAATCATTATTTGTAGAACAAAAATAGAAAATTTGATGCATATAACAGAACTGTAATAAAGTTTCAAAATTAATGAATCAGTTTACATGATTATAATGAATTAGTTAATATTTATATAATGAAAACTTTTAAGAAAAAATGTTTATGTATTTAGTTGCCGCTAGTGAGACCAACATCATAGAAAGAAGCTTGTTTGATAAGAAAAATATTTTATATAAAACAATGAGTGAATACTCCTTAAATAAATACCCCTTAAGATTTTGCAAGCTTTTAAGCAGTTCTTCATCTGTTAATTTAGCAGCTTCCTAAAAAAATGTCAAAAAAATTATATCAAATTATAAATTAATAAACTTTATAAACAACATTTATCAATAAATTATTATAAATTCTTTCCATGGTTATTTATGTTTTTATTTTTCAGTGTATATTTGTTTCCATGGTTATTTATGTTTTTATTTTTCAGTGTATATTTGTTTCCATGGTTATTTATGTTTTTATTTTTCAGTGTATATTTGTTTCCATATTTCCATGTTAATTTTATCATGCGCAAAAATTATAAATGTTTGTAACTGTTTACTCGATTAGAAAGTTTAATTATAAAATTACAGATTTAACAAATAATATGAATAAAAAAAAATTCATCAAAAGTCCATGAGTAAATAATAAAAATTTATATCAAATTTAACAAACTGTTCATATATATCCTTTAAACTCAACACCTTTTTTAATTTATTTCATTCAAAAAATAAGTTAACTTGTATTTGCTATATTAAAAAAACATTTCTATGTTTGGTTATACTAATATGACTATCGTATTATATTGTTTACTCGTCCATTGTATCTTTGTTCAAATCTATTTTTAAAAAGTACAATGTTCATCAACATTGTACCCGCGTAAGTCGCGGGGTAAAGGATAAGTGGCGATGACGTTTGTCTGACAGGATAAACTAGTTATAAATGCTGATCCTCATCGAAACGCCAGTAATAATAGATGCGACTCTGAGGAGATGTTAATTACTTATCACTACACTAATTATGTTTACACATTAGCATTAATGTTTTTTTTTTCCATTATTAGTCCATTCATTGTCGTTAGCATATTTCTAATTTGTTGAATAGTTTTTTGTTTTACAAATTTTTGACTGGTTATGTATTTCTTGTATATTTTAGTTCATATTAATAATTATAAAACAATCTTTTTTTTATTTTTAATTTTTTATTTATATATATATATATATATATATATATATATATATATATATATATATATATATATATATATATATATATATATATTATTATTATTATTTGTTATTATATATATATATTTTTTATTATTATTATTTGTTATTATTTGTTTTTAATTTTTTTAATTATTATTTTTTTTTTTTTATTGTTATTATGGTTGAGTACTGTTTTGGTTGTATAGCTTGTCTTATTTATTTTTAAATATTCCTCTATTAATCTTTATTTTTGTCTTGACAACTGTCAAAATATGCTTTGTCTAATAAATAATTATCCTTTATTCTAATGTACTTCATTTCTTCCCTCAGGCGTTCACTGCTCGTGTGTGACCATTCGGCGAATTTTATATGCCAAAGTTTTTAAATCATATTTATTATTTTTTTGTTACATTCTTTTCATGACTTAAACTCCAAAAAAATTGAGAATTAAGTTGTGCTAAAAAACAGAACACAGTACTAACAGTGATGTGGATCAAATTCAAAACATTTTGCAGGTTGAACACAGTACTACCAGTGATGTGGATTAATATTCAGTACTTCAATATTCAAATATCTTTAAATTGTGTGTGAGAAATAGTCGGTGTCTCATCTTGGGCAGATGTTAACTGCATCTAGTTACTATCTTGTAGGAGGCCTCCTAGGCAAAGACTTTAGTGGTAAGCAAAATAATTCTCACTACTTACTACCCTAGAGCTGATTAGGACTTTTTTTGTGAATCTTTTCGTGACCATCTTTGGGCTGATGTCTTTTCCCTTTCAGCTGAAAAATGCATCTCCTACATAACCTCCTGGATTCAGGCAGGAATGGATGCTTATATTCCTTCTCGTCGGTTCCAAGTCAAACCTCATTCTACTCCATAGTTTTCACCCTCTTGTGCAGCTGCTATATCTAATCGTAATCATTTTTTTTTTCATCGCAATCATCTTTTTTAAAAGAAAACTCTCTTGAGAACAAACAGCTATTTATTATGCAAGATATTGATGTAAAAAGGTGCTGTCAGATTCTAAGCTCCATTATTCTCAGTTTACTAAATCTTGTATCTTATCCTAGAAGTTAAGCTCTAGAGACTTTTGGAATATCACTGTTGTTAACTAAGGAAAGTTAACATTCCAAGGCTAACATTCCATCTTTAATTCATGGGACTGATCTTATTACCCCTCCCAAGGATAAAAAACTCTGGTGAACATTCTGACCCCTGCAATCATCTTTCAATCAGTCTTCTTTCTGTTATTAGCGAGGTCTTTGAGTCTTTGATAAACAAATTTCTCACATCCCATCTTGAGTCAAATAACTTGCTGTAGACAATCAATACGGTTTTCGATCCTCTCACTCTATGGCTGACTTGCTAAGTGCTGTGACTGAAAGATTTTATCATGCATTAAATGGAGGCGGAGAGGCTAGGGCTATTGTTCTTGACATATCTAAGGCTTTTGACTAAGTTTGGCATATTGGTCTTCTCCATAAGCTTGTTTCATATGGTGTATCTGGGAAAGTTTTAGAGATTATCAAACCATTTCTTTCTAACTGCTTTATTAAAATTATCCTTGAAGGCCAACACTCTACTTTATTTCCAGTAACTTCTGGGGTACCTCAAGGTTCTACCCTTGGTCTTATTTTGTTTCTTATCTACATTAATGATCTTCCCGACAACTTACATCTAAAGTAGCTTTTTGCTGATGACTCAACTTTGTAATTATGTCTTGACAAAAAATCTTCTCTTTTCTATTGCTTAGAACAGGCAGCTGATCTTGAATCTGATTTCACTTCTGATTTCACAACTGATTGGCGCTCACAGTAATTTGTAAATTTTTACTCCAACAAAACTCAGTTATTTACTACAAACAACTACAGCAGTACTGTCGACAATCCTTTATTGATGAATGGCAATCCTCTCACTGAATCCTCTTCATGTCTTCTTGGATTATCATTTACTACTGACCTTTCATAGAAACTATATATACAACCAACTGCTAAATTAGTATCTGCTAAGGTTGCCTCTCTTTATTGTGCTTGCAATTTTCTCTCCTGATTTCATTCTCTACCTCTACAAATCTCTTATTTGTCCCTGTATGGAATACTGTTGTCATATTTGAACTGGTTTTTCTAATGATGCTCTTTATCTTCTAGACATGATCCAAAAAATACATTGTAAACATAGTTGGACCTGGTCTATCCGCTAAGCTCGAGCCTCTTTTCCATCACCATAAAGTTGCATCTCTTTCTATTTTCTACAAATACTATCGTGGATGCTGCTCAAAGGAGCTTTTATCTCTAGTTTTATCAACCAAAACTCTTGCTTGACTTGTCATTCATCAAAGTCTAACTCGTTTACTGTATCTGTCCCTGCATTCTCTCAAAACTTTTATTCATCTAGCTTTTTCACTCGCACCTCAACCCTTTGGAACTCACCCGTCTTTATATTTTCCTGACTCATACAACCTTCAATTTTTTAAGTCTTCTGTCAACCATTTTCCTGCTCTATAACTCTATAATTCTATAACTTTTTTTTTTAGCAACTCAAAACTTAATAGTTGTTGCTTGCAGTTTTGTTTGAAGTGAATCAGAATTAAAAAAAAAAGTTATTAAACAATCTTTAAGCTAAAGTTTTTTCTTCAAGTTTTGGTCAATGTGGGTCACAGGCACTGTGCCACATGCAAAAAATTAAAAGACACAAAATAAAATGGATCTTACAACAAAATAATGACCCAAACCATTATACTGAATGTATAATGAATGTATCACTCTTATTGAGCCTCTTTGGGAGAATATCAACTGATTGATTGATGATTGACATTGACTGATTATATCTGACTGAGTGCATCAAATTGCAATTAGTTGGTTGAAAACCAACTAAGAAAGACAATTTTTTTGCTTTGATTGAAAAATGTTGCCAACAAATATATAAAAAATATATTTTAAATCAATATTTTATTTGATTTAATTTTTTATTAAAATTCAGTTATTTTTCAACTTTTTTTAAGATGCTTTTTGAAAAAAAATAACTTCATTTTACCTGCTTTAAATTTTTGTGGTTTGTATTATGATTTTAATCAATATTTTACATTTAGTAAAAATTTTTGTATAATGATTTAATATTTAGCACAAATTTCAGCTGATTTTTAAAAAATTAAAAGCTAGTTACTTAGCCTTGAAAGCTAATATATATATATATATATATATATATATATATATATATATATATATATATATATATATATATATATATATATATATATATATATATATATATATATATATATATATATATATATATATATATATATATAAATCAAAATAAGAAGATAAATATATAATATAAATGGATATATAATACAATATTAATAAAAATAAACACACAAAAAATATAGAAACCTGTTTAAAGATACTTGTGACTTCACATAACTCTTCAATATCACCTTTATTGCTTTTAAATAAAGATCTAAAAAAAATAATTAAATCAAAAAATATATAATACAAATGGAAATATCAAAATTTAAATATTTCTAAAATTAGAAAAAAATTTATTTTAATTAATAAACTTGCACCCTAACAAAATCCACCTTGAACTTACCTTGCACCCCAACCAAAAGGCATTGAATAAACTCCTAATCTTTTACAATTTTGGCGAAATTGTTTATAAACTTTTTGAACAAATTTTGGATTATCAAAATGTTTTATATATGGCTCTGCGCATTGGCCAATTCCACCTTGAAGCATTTTATTAATACGAACAACCAAGTATATTTCTGAATGAGGCGAATTAACTGTAAATACACACTAAACAGATGTTAAATAAAAAATAATTTTTGTTTATTAAAAACTAAAATTTGCTATTATAATTGAAGTAATTAAAAATATTAAATTAAAAAAAAATTATTTCAAATAACAACTTACTAAATTCAAAGGGAAGAAATAAAATAAAACCTTATATTTAAAGTTTAAAAACCATTAAGAATGATAAACAAAACAAACAAAAAAATACATCTTTAGGACTGTGAAAATTTTTTGCTTTTGCATCATTATTTTCCCCTGAAGGTGAATTTTCATTTGAAACAGCAAACTCATTTAATGATGGGTGATTAAGTTCACAACAGAAATCTTCAGATAATTTCACATTATGCTTAGCATCAAATAAAGACAAAGTAAAGTAAAAAGGTTCACAGTTGGTTAAATCTTCTTGACATAACTTAAACTTTAAACTTTTGCAACTAACTTTCAAACGAATGGCTGGAAGTTCATTAAAAGGTTCAACTTTGTTTACCTTAACTTCAGGTAAACTATAGCTATTACATAAATCAGAATAGATTGAAAATAAGTTATATCGGCATTCTTGTCTGCTTTTATAATTTCCTTGATCACTTTCTTTGGCGTATTCTTGCAAGACTGGATGGCTACTATTTTTGAGACTTTCTTTAAGATTTTTTTGTTTTATATGAACAAGTTTTCCATTGTACTCAGAAACAAACTTCTTCTCTTGTTCAATTTCAATGCCAGTTGCCTTGCATAAATCTCTAATCCATGCTTCCATCTCACTCAGACTATCAGCTGCAAGTCCATACACTTTATCTTGAATGTACAACTCAAATCCATACACCCTACCTTTAAAACCTTTTCTTATTTGGGTGCACGAGTCGAGATACAAAGTACCTTTAGCCATAGCGCTACCTTCTTCCTATTAAAAAAAAAAAGTAAATTAATCAAATAAAAAAAAAAATTATCAAATAAACATAATAAAAAGGACTTGTTTTAATGCGTTTATTAAGTAGATATATGTATGGGGTCTATTTTTCTTTAAAACCCACTGAAACATAAATCTACTGAAATATTTTAGGTTAAAAAAGCCCTTTTCCTGCTTTAATTTTTGAAATGCAACAGTAAATATATAGCGATACAAATTTCTGTTTGAATTTATAAACAGAAAGTCTTCTTTAGTAATCATAAAGAACATTTTAATTCATTTTTGAGCTACTTGCCAGAAAATAAATTATATACATGTATAAATAATAATGGCATCAAAAGATAATACAGGTTTAAGATTCACGCAAGATTTTGGAAAATAATAGCATGTCATCTGAGTCAGGAACCACAAGACAAACATTAAGCAGAACACCAGGTCTTTCATCAGCCTTGGTATATTAAAAATGATGTAATATCAAAACAAACAAACATGCTGATAAAAAAAAAAGTGTTGGTCAGGTATAAATGCTTGAACACACTCTTGTCTTGACAAATTAACTTCGACATGATAAAACATCTACAAATAATTATTTATGTATCTATTATTATTTTTACTAAATTATTATTCCATGATATTCTTCATTATAATAAGCTGATTTCCTATTCAACAACAATTAACCGCTAAATTGATTGCATTTTTAAAAAAGTTTAATTACTTCTTTAAAAACTGTAATTCTATTTAGAAAACAAAAAGTTTTTATTTTTTTGTCACATTCCATTTTATGTTTTTTTTTTCATTTGTAAGTATTTCCTATTTATTGATATATGAATATATAATGTTAAAAATCAACAAAAGATTTTATTTTGTTTTGTTTTTCTTAATATAATTTTACTTTTGTTTGTGAAATTGCAATAATAATAATTTTTTATTTTTATTTATATTAATAAGGATTTTTTTATAACATTGTTTTAAACAAAAAAAGGAATTATTGACTGATGTCTGTAAATTCAATAACACTACTTGAAAAATTTTCATTAAATAATTTTTTTACTTTTATTCAGGCTGTTTATCTTAAATCAGTTGCGACTATAATGCATACAAGAAAGATATCTACAGAAATGTTACAAAATGAGGTCTGCACATAGATCATTCAGGTTTTAAAAAGCCGAAAAATTGTTTGGGTAAAATATCTGGAAAAAATTAATTTTGATTTTAGCTGAGTTATTTCCAATTTTTTTTTCAAACTTTCCTTTATTTTTATATGAGTTATGAGTAAATAAGCTTAAAAAACAAATATATTACAAAAATACATACCTAAACTTGTATGTATGGAAAACGTTTTGGATATCCGGAAAAACTAAAAGTTAAGAAAAATATCCGAAATTTTAGAAATATCGGGAAAAAGATAATCCCTGCTGCATAAAAAAGCAAAAGAACATTTTGTAGTGAAATTGGAAATTGGTAGCTTTAACTGTTACTGACATTGATTCAATGGTAAAGCAGGAAATATTATTTATTGGTTTATTGGCTATTGGCTTGTTGTGATTGGTTTACAACAGACCTTGTGTCAATTGTAAACCAATCACTAACAACAAACCTTTGCTAATTTTTGAATTTGCTCATGAATTTAACAAATGTAACAGTATTTAATGTGAAATATGTTATGTTTGATTCCACTGTGTTTGTCATAATTTAAAAAGATTATGAACTAATAGCAGAGCTAGAACAGATTTGTATAATATTTTTTGTGTTGATTTTTAAATATCTAATAATTTTTCTTTATGTGTTGCATGATTTTTATGAAATAAAACATTACATTTTAACGTTATAATCAATCTTTCTTCTAAAATGCTTCCAAGACTTTGAGATTATTATAAATGTTAAAGACTTTAATTTAAGATTTAAGTAACTTTTATAAACAACTACATTTAAAATATGAAAACCTTTTACTAAATTTAAATTATATATAAATATTCTTAGGTGCTTAATACAGGAGAGTGGGGACATTTATTTATTTTTTCAAAATGTATGTATGTATGTATGTATATATGTATGTATGTATGTATGTATGTATGTATGTATGTATGTATGTATGTATGTATGTATGTATGTATGTATGTATGTATGTATGTATGTATGTATGTATGTATGTATATATATATATATATATATATATATATATATATATATATATATATATATATATATATATATATATATATATAGTTTTATTTTTTCTTTATAAAAACAACTTTGTGTTTTTCATTTTAGTTACAATGATCAAATCTTCCCAGGAAACACGTGCAAATACGCATGAGTATTTTACTTTAGACAACTTGGTCACAGCTGTTTGCAAGTTTTATTTTATTAAGTGTTACAGAAAAAAGTTTCAAAAACAAAGAAAGCAAAACTAACTAAATAGGAAATTAAAATAAACTTAAATGAAGAAAAAACAAAAATAAAATTAACAATTTAAATAATTTGTGCACTGTTTTTATTTTTGTGTATTGTGAGTGGCTTTGATTTTCAGCAACAAAGTTTAATAACTCAAAAAACAGTTTTAAGTTGACATTAAAATGAATAATTTTCCGATATTTTATTTGTTTTTTTTTTAAAGAAGAAAACAAAAATATGAATTGCCATTTGTTTTTAAAATATTTTGTATAATTTTAATGTTGTAAGTATATATTGTCCCTATAAGAAAGCGTCTATTAATGTATGCGTATACTTTTATATAACTTTTTGTTTATATAATAATATTTATTTGAAACGAAGTATACGCACATTTAGCTTATTTAGTAAAGGTGTTAACTTTATACACAGAATGTTCGTGGTTTGATTCCTACCACTGTCCAATTTTTTTTTGTGTTTTTCTTTTAAATACCACTGGTGATTTGTTTGCTTTGTAACCATTTATTTTTTCTTATTTGTATATAAAAAATCTTTCTGTTGTATGTTTTTGAATGATACACATCTCATCACATTCAGATTTTTAAGTTAGGTGCACACACATATTTATACATAGTGTGTATATATACATATACACATATACATAGTTTTTAAGCTTCAATTAGGTCATGCAGTCTACACATTTTTCACATAGTCTAAATTGTTTCCTATTACCTTTCTTCTCCTGTACATTCAATCTAAAGATAGAAAAATTAAAGCAGTACACAAATTATTTAAATTATTAATTTTTTTAATTTCTCTTTTATTTAAAATTCTTTTTATTCCAATTTGTTAGTTTTGTTTTTGTTTTTTTTGAAACTTAGTTTTTACTGATATAAAATAAAAAAATGTAAAATAATATAAAAAAACCTGCAAACAGCCATGACCAAGTTGTCAAAAATAAAATGCTAACGTGTGGTCATACAAGTCAAAAAACCGCATGTGTTTCCTGGGAAGGCTTGATGAAAATTATATTTTTTCAAGAGCCAATAATTGCTTCCATAAACTGTTTTAAGAGAGTGTGGGCAAGAGCGCTTCCTCCCGAGGCCTGGATAAGATATTTTTTGCTAAATTTCTTTTGACTTTGATTTTTACTTGTATTTTTGTTTGTTATAGTCATTTTTGAAAATGTACACCTAATTTATATTATTATTTACTTGTTTGTTTTTATGTTTAAATAGGTTTGTTTACATTTTTGTCCTCTTGAGAAAAATATTGCATGTAGCGATTCATAATAGCAGCTTAATTTTGAAACCTTCTAAATTAAAATATCACACACTTTTAGAATATGCATTTTATATTGGTATACAGAGAGAGATAAAGATTACCTTTCTGTATTCAAGAACATAAGAACCATCAAGAGATGTTTGCTTTAAAGTAAACCAGCGTCTTTTGTATGTCTAAATTAGTTTCAAAATATTGAATTAAAGATTATATTAGTTATAATATGTAATATAGATAATGCCAATAACAATAGTACAAATAACTTGAAAACCTTAGAACCATATGAAGGTATTCCATCAGAATGGAAAGGTGACTTTGTCAAGTACCCTTCCCTGTATATTCCTTTTTCTTTCAGGGGGATAAGTAGAGATTCCTAAATTTTAATGTAAAAAAAAAATTTCAATACAATGGTATCACACCTGCCATTTGAACTTTATGAAAATTCCAGAAATGAAGGCTTCAAAAGAATTTCCCCTAACAACAATCTTGTTATTTGATTTTATTAAATAAAAACTATATAATTCTATTCTTTTTCTATATTTCACATTTCTATAAATTATGCTTCACCATATTTATAAACTCATACTTCACTTAAAACGGCAGTACGCCATTTTTGATGAAGTTAAAATGGCATTAACACACCATTTTTGATGAACTTAAAATGGCAATAACACCATTTTAGGTGAAATTAAAATGTTTATACAAAAATTAATAACAACTAAAACTCCATATACCATTTTTGAGAAAAAAAAATATTTTCAAACTCTGTTGGCTCCTAATAATAGATTTTTTCAGAAAAAAACCTACCTAATGTTTGAATTATTTTTTAACATTGAAATTTATTACAAATTTAATATTACCATGGATATCATTACATAATAACACCACAAAATATTTTGTCATTAAAAAAATATTTAATATTTAATTTAAAAAAAATTACTTGGACATTATCTGTATTATCTGTTGAAAGATCTTGTTCAAAAATATGCTGCTTAAGTTCTTTTGTTCTTCCATATCTATGATAAAAATTATCTTTAACAAAATTAAAAATAAAATGCCATTTATAAGGTGTTCTAGCATAATTGAAAATATTTATTTATATGCTACAAAAATATTTATATGCTAAAAAACTAAATTATGCTATATCATATTAATAACTCTTATAAGAATGATATCTAATATTTTTTTAAAGTTCATTTTATAAAAATAATAATTTATGTGTGTAACAGTAACCACAGTTTACAACAACCAAGAGTGATTTATTACATTAAATAAATTATCATTTACTTAATGACACCAAATAGTACTGAGATTAACCAGTTATAAACTCTTAAAAGTCTTTGTTACTTTAAAAACCATCAGGAAACTTTGCAAAACTTAATTGTGTAAACAAATAAAACATGGCTAGAGCATCAAATTAAAAACAATTTTAAAATAACTTTTTCAACTTACTCATTAAAGGTATGAAAGCTTTGTCCATATTCTGCATATTTATTTTCCAGAATCCAATATTTACAAGTGTAAACTTTTAGGCACTAAAAAAAAATATATATATCTAATTACAAAATACAGAACTTAATAGTGCTAATGTCCCTTGGTGTGTTTTTTGACACAGACCTTTTTAAGATGCCAAATGCAAGAAAATATAGCTTAAAAGAACTTAAAAAGCTTTATGTTTTTTAATTAAAAAAAACTTTTGTATTTGTTTACCATTTTATATTAAACTATTTTCACATTTAAAATAGTGATTGTATTTTGTGTTGTTTCTAAGATCTAAACTTAGATTACAAAGCTGAATGGCTTTGCCATGGAACTCTAACTTTGATGAATTGATGGTACAAGCACTACAAAAGTATTGATAAATACTTATATTGAAATATATTTTGCTAACACATAAATAGTAATACTATACAAATAATTTTGTAAAATATGATGATAGTAATCTACCTAAAATTTCAGAAAAATTAGAATTTATTTATTTTTATTTTTTTTTTAAAGATAAAATTTTAACATTAATAAAGCAAATAAATATATGAGAGACTTGTGAAAATTATTTTATTTTGTGAATACGCAGGTGGTAGGCATTATTTCTGATCATTTGTATTATTTGATTTAAAATTAAATATAAATATATTATATTATGATATTATGCAAAATTATCCAGATGTAGGGGAGAACCTTAATGAATGGGACAATTATTGAATGGGACAAAATCAAATTTGCATAGAAGCATCTACGGTTGGCTATCCAAACTCCTGTGGTAATAAGTGTTTGACACAACCATTCAACAGACCAAATCTTTATTTCTATTATGGTCTAAACGTAATGGCATTGGATGTTATTGTGTTTTGAAGAACAATAAGTAATTTTTAAAAACAATTTTCTGTGTCTGATTTTGCAGCGATTACTAAAGTTAAGGAAAATGAAACTCCAATTTTCAACACCCAAATGTCTCTACTTTTTAAATTTGTAAAGTATTTTTGTTTAGGTATTACTGTTTTTAACCTGTCCTGTCATTTGTGGATATAGTGGGAAGCCTATTGAATGGGACAAAGTATTGATTATTGATTGGGACTTGTCCAAACAGCCTGATATGAAAAAAGTAGAAAAATATATTTCGGCAACTTAGTTATGGTCACACATAATTTTATTTTTAATAAAATTTTTTGTTTTACTAAAAACAATTATTTGTGTTTTTAATTTAATTTTAATATACATATATTTTTTAATAAAACTATTTTAGGTTTGTCAATATATGCAGACATTCAGCCATATTTATAGCTTTTTCGAGTTCCCTAATGGTAGAAACTACCCTTACTGCTTGACTGGCTTGAAAGTTACTTAGGACCTCTCTTCTTTTATTAATTTTTTAGATTTTTCCCATTCAATAATTTTATTTGTCCCATTCAATGAGTAGTTCTTAATGAATGGAACAAATGCCATGGTCTTATTAAACTCTCTTTTTACCAATACCCATATGCGGAATCAATTATTTTGTTTTTGTTTATCATAGTACGAGAGTTAACAGTTATCAAACTATTTTCAAAGTGATTTTTAAACAAATTTATCAACCTCAAAAAATGCATTTTACGAAAACTGTCCCATTCATTAAGGTTCTCCCCTACTGTAAATTTAAAACTTGAAACTTTTAAGAGAACACCACATGTCTCGGAGGTTTGGGATCCCTTTAAGTAATATAAGTTTGCAAAATAATTTTAACAAATACTTTTAAATAATCATTAAAAAGTCATTTTTTATTTTGTGTCCATATCGATGGTTTTCATATTTCATGTTGACAAAAGATTTTATATTTTTTAATAAAAATTTTAATAATTGTATTGATTAGAATCCTCAATCAAATTAAGAAACTGCTTTAAAAAAAAAGTTATGCTATGATCAAAAACTTTGTAGAACTTGTTTATATCTATAATAAATATACTTATGGTATTATATCTATAATAGAGATACTTATGAGACAATTGTCTTTTGTAATTTTAAATTAAAACTTTTTTCAAAACATTGAACATCAATTGTTAACTCAAATCCCATGTTTTTTAAGCCAATTAGTATATAAATAAGTATATAAATGGTAGTTATGGAACAGACCTACCACAACCTGTATTATGGGTCTGGACAGCTAGTATTTATATATAAGCTAATATTTATAAATATCACTTGATAAAAATATATATAAGTCACCAATTGATGGTCATTCAATTTATGCTTGGCACCATGCCATCTCAGATTTTCATAATTTTTGGTATACAAACTTGAATTAATGAAAAAAAACTTCACTCCAAATTTTAATGTCTGACTCCTTGCGGTTTCAGAGATACTGATACTCAGTCCTAATCTCTTTTTTGATGTTTTTTTCCAGCGCCATTAATTTTTTAAGCTAATTACATAATACAATTAGCTTTAACTTATGAAATACTAGCTCAATAGTGTTGAATAATTGTACCTAACTATTTTTTAGGGAGAGGAACTCAGGAATGATACCTAAAACACTAAAAAAATTAAAGTTTCTCTATGAAAATTTAATTTCAAAATGTTGTAATACTTTTTATAAGTTTTGATGCCCGTACAAAAGAAATATATATCTTGAGATGCCTAAAAGATATGATTCTGAAAATTATTACTTTGGTTCTATATATAACAAACTCATTATTATAAAAAAACTAAAGAGGTTTTCTTTTTTGAATCTGATTTATTTGGATTGAAAGTTTTATAAAAAAAATTAAGAAAAATTGGTATTTAATAATGAAAAAAAAAAATTATATACATTTTTTTTTTTGCATTTTTCTAAAAAGATTTCAGTGTTTCAAACTAAACTTATTATACTTGTTCTCTTTATATATGTTAAATATGTTTAATAATACTTTCTATATGTTAAATATGTTTAATAATACTTTCTATATGTTAAATATGTTTAATAATACTTTCTATATGTTAAATATGTTTAATAATACTTTCTATATGTTAAACTTGTTGTACTGTTCTATACTAAACTTGCTATAAACTTTGCATTTCATATTAAAGATCTTCACTTTATACAACCTTACAATTTTTTTTTTATAAATATACAAATTTATACAAATTGTGTAAATAAAACAACTTTTTTTTCACTATGAAAACATGGACTATTGAAACACTTTCCACTTAGGTTACCAAGGTGATTATACTAGATATAGCTCAAAATGTGAAGGAGAACCATCTGAATGTGAAGGAGAACCATCTGAATGTGAAGGAGAACCATCTGAATGTGGAGGAGAACCATCTGAAAACAGTTTTCATTTAAATTACAAATTAATATTTGACTACGTTTGATTTAGTTGCTGAACACTGATTTAACTTGATCTTACAAGAAAGTGGATTCCGTGGTTTACTAAAATCTATAAAGAATTAATAATATGCCTATTTGAATCAATGATATGCTTACTTAAATTGATTATATGCTTACTTGAATCAATGATATACTTGAATACTTTGATTATCTTTTCTTGTAACTTACTAATGCATTTAATATACTATTTAAGTGTTTCATTTGATTGAATTTTTATTTGAGATTTACAAACATCAGAAAAGGTTTTCGAGATTTTTAAATTTCAATTTGAGATTTTCAAGTGACAGGAAAGGCTGAATATTTTTTTATTTTTTGTATTTTGAATAGCCTTCTGTCATTATTCATTTAAAATGTCAGTGTTTATGCAAAATTTTGAAAAGAAACAAAAAAAGTAGAGCAGAAGAAAGTGTCTCATGTAATGATGTTGAAGGAAACTAATTTTTGAGTCAAAAACTGTTTCATGTTAAATTGAGTGTTTAAAACAAAGTATATATTTGTAACGGTACATAATTATATTTTAAATCATTTCAGTACACAAAAAGATATGATCATACAAAATTTACCCCTTTATTATTTTCGATGGTTCACAGTTATAAAAAAGTGCAGAAAACTAAAAAAAGGAGTTTTTAATTCAAATTCAATAGTGTATATCTCATGTCAACCTTCTAAAAACTCTAAATATAAGAAATATATAATGCAAAAATAAAACTTAATTAAATTTTACAACTTTGATAACTGATACTTTGTTACTATTGTTCCAACCAAACAGTAAGTAAAGTAAGGTTGTCATATATACTTGTAATTAAGTAAAAAGTTGTTATATGTTAGTTAGTTATAAATATAATAATCTTGTTACTAAGTAACAAAGAAAGAAGTTGTTACTTAATAAACTTGTTATCAAATAGCAAGTTTCCCACCAAGTAAAGTTTTGAATTCTAAAGAAAATCTTCAACTGCAAAATTAATTTCTTTCACTTAAATTATATCTTCAAATATATATTATACTATCTAAAAACATTTTAAACAAGTAAATTTAAAAACAAATTTTTAAAACCCAATGCTTTTATGTTATTAAAACACAAATTTTGCAATCAACTTTTTCTGATTTATTTTATTAACATTCGGCTGTATCCGTGTGTAAAAAAACAAAAAAGTTGCGGATATCAAACCACAGACATTTTGTTTGTGAAGTCAACGCCTTATCCAAATAAGCTAAACGCGTGTATAAGTATGAAAACAATCAATATAATTATCTATAACATTTTTATTCTTTTTTCCATTTAAAAAATAAACTTCATTAAAATTAACAAAAATATTTAATTGACTTATTACAAAACTAATTATTGAATATTGTATTGTCATTAAGCAAGAGTATGTATGCAAAATTTGAAGAAAATCTATCATCAGGAAGTGACTTAAAAATTGATTGCAAGATTTGATGCTCACAGACAGAGACAAAGATAAAAAAAAGATAAAAGATAAAAAAAAGTAGTTTCTAAAGTATTAATACTATCTAAAAACATTTTTTAGATAGTATTACTATCTAAAGACATAGTTAAATCAATAAAATCCTAACCCTTCCCCCCCCCCCCATATAACAATACAAAAATCATCTTAACCCCCTCCACCTTTACAATATAAAAACAAAACTATTTAAAGTTATAAAAACAATATAAAAACAAAACTTTTTTTTGCAAATTTTTTATAAAATATAACTAATTATGATAAAAAAGTTTTAAACAAAAAAAGTAAAAAATAAAATTAAAAATAAAATAATAAAAAGTAATATAATTATAAATACTTCTTGAACAAAGAGATCAGTTGCATCTTTATGGGCCTGAGGAGGCACAGTTGAATATTCTGTACGTAGCTCTTGTTCTCTGCAGATAAACTGAAATTATATTTTATAAAATAATAATTTTATTTATAACATAATATTGATTTTGGTTTTCATTTTTTAATGGTTTTAAAAAATGAAACTATTGAAATTAATTTATAAAGTAGTTTCTTGCATAATTTAAATCAGATGAATTTTTTATAATTCAAGCAAAAAATTGATATTAAAGTAATATATGATCACTTTGTTATAAATAAATAAAAAAATTTGTTTAAAAATTTAAAATTTTTTTTGTATTAAAAAAAATCTGTACTATTTACCACAAAGGAATAGACAATAACCTACCCAACCACCTCCGCACCTCAATAAAAACAGTCAACATAACAAAATTTGCAACACAATCAGGCAATATGACAAGCACACTAATATGAAAATTATCACCAAACATTAAAACAATTTATGCACAGAATAAACATGTTGCATTGATTCAAGTTTCTTACAATTTTTATGTAATTAGACGTTGTTTGTTTGTGACTATTTGATAGAACTAGTTTTAATTAAATTAAAATTACTGGTTATTTGAGCAGTAAATTTTCTTAAACTATAATGGGTTTTTACACGGAAAATGACAAAAAAAGTAATTCTACAGTTTGGAAACATTTGTTACAAGAAGAAAAAGAGCAGACAGGGATGTGCAAGTATTCTGACTGCAAAATAATTTTAAAAATTGGTTCAACAAAAGTTCTCTATACGCACTTACTTTCTATTCATAAATTTAACCTCACACCAGCTACTATTTCCAGATAAACCACAAAATAATAATAATAATAATAATAAAATGTTAACCAATCATTTTCTGATATTGGACCCAGAAGAAAAATCACCTCCTGCATCACTTGCATGATTAACAGCTCTTGGTGGGATTTAGTTCAGCATTATATGCCATTCTAGTGATATATGTGCAGGTCTTATAGCTACATGTGTTGGTTGAAGGTTATTAAAAATGGTTGAAGATTACAGCAAAAAAAATAGAAATTTTTTAATTACTGAAATAGCAAGCAAAAAAAAAATTGATGTCAGTGTAGGAGAATGATTTTCTTTATCTTTTGATGAATGAACATCATAACATAACCATTGCTACATGGAATTAATTTGCATGCACCAAATTGTCAGTTTTCGGCCTAATTTGTATAATCAATGTCTGCAAATAAGTGTATAAAAAGCGTACCAATTTAAGTGAGATCCTTCAGTATCTGCACAATGGTAGAACCAAAGTTCAGTCACAATCTGAAATAGAGCGAGTAACAGTTCTGAGCAAGTTCTGTCTTTAATAAAATCTCTCAAACTAATAGTTGAGTTACTTGAAAGACTAGACGATTCAAATCCAGCTACATCATTAACAGATAATGTTTCAAATAAGACACTGATTGAAATTGTTTCTGATTCTACTGACTCTCCATCTGAATCAATTTTTTTGATCATGAAAAGAGCAAAAGAATAACAGATAAACTTAAAAGCTGTAAAAAATCCACATTTGTTCAGCATACCAATTTGATGTGAGACTCTGTCAGTGACAATTCAAAAGGAAATGCAGTTGCTTAAAAATAGATTTTCAAAAATCACCACATGTTTTTTTTGATAAAACATGTGATGTTTTAATTTTTGGCGTATAATTTTTTAACGACTATTAAGTGTAGAATCTGAACTTGCTTTTTCTGCGGCTAATCTTTATGCAACAAAGTCATCTGGGTGATAAAACTTTGGATGCTCTCTGCTTCCTTAAAATGTATTTTAAATTTATCAAAAATAATTGCATATGTATATTATATCTATAAAAAACAACGAATTTTTTTTTAATAACTAAGTATAAACCCTTCCTGGGAAGCGCGTGCAGTCGCACGCTTTGTTCATCCATATTGAAAGTAAATTTTTTAAACAAAATGACCATGGCAGTTTGCATCTAATAATTCATGGCAAAAAGCTAAACTTATCTACGAAGAAAAAAAAGCAATTCAAAAGGAAACAAAATTGTAACGTAATATAAAGTTTAATTAAATAAACTAGAAAATTTATAATCAAAAAAAAGTAAAAAAAAAAAATTTATCAAATTTTTATAAAACTTTATATTTATTTTTTTTTAGTTTCATTGTTGAAAAAAAAATTACACTTTATAATGATTTTAACAACAATTGAAACTTTTGATATGTGATTCAATCACGATTTTTATTAGTTCATATAATAAGAAACTACTTTGCTATGTATGTTAGAACTATAAAAAATTTTGTTAATTTTTTTCTTATGTTTATTCGTTTGTGTATCTTATCAATTTTATAAATATTTTTGCTATATTTGACGTTTCTTTCTCAATACTTATATAAATAGGAAAATAAAAAATAAATTTTTATTTTTTTGTAAAGTATACTATTTGATTAATAAATTATGTAATGACAGAATATGTTAAATAAAAGAATAACATGGTTTCTTTAATAAATGTATTTACCGCATTTGATGAATCTCTGAAATTGTTTCTTTTATAATGCCCATTTTTTAATGTTAATATGAATTACTATTGATAATGAACATAAAAATTGCTCTGTTTAAAAAAATGTATAAAAACTTTTAAAAAACTTTTAAATAGGCTTCTAAACATTTCATTAAAAAAATTCCGTAAAGTAACAATGCACTAGCCCACAAGCTTTTGGAGCATTGTCGATAACAAGAGTTCATTAGAAAATCAACTATCGGGTTTAAATGTACAATTTAAATAATCCAACAAAAGTGTAGACTATGTCAATGGGGTATTGAAGACAACCAAATATTTTATATTTAAATATTATTACTAATGACTTTTTATTTTTTTACATGAAAAACTTGTTAAAAATAAATAAATTATTTTACAAATGAATAGCAATTAGTTATCTTGCTTACCTGTGCATTGTTAAAAACAGTAAAGTTTAGCAAAAACATTTGAAAAACAAATTTAAAAATTATCCATGTTTCTAGCACAAATTATAAAGTATAACCTTATCTACTTTTCCCCTCGACTTGTATCTATTTCGGTAATGAAAAATAACAAATGCCCTTCTATTAAATGAATTAAAGGAGGTAATGTGTGAAAAGCTTAATAAAATTATTTCTCATTCATTTATAGCAAAATCACAATCAAAACATCTAAACATCTCAATGAAACAATTTTGATAAAGCAATTTTCCTAGCAAATTTCACAGAGAACTG